GGTGATGTGCAGGGCAGACAGGCTTCCTGCTAAGAGAGCTCTGCTTTTCAGGCCTGTGAATCCTGATGGCCTGTTCTCTGAAAGCATCTTGACGTGCAAGCCAAGCGCCCTTGCCTTGTCAGCGCAGGAGTCACGCAGAGGTGAGGGTGTGCCGTGAGCCAGTTGGGCGGAGGGGGAGCGCACCGAGTATTCGTGAGCTGTGCAACGCGCGTTACAAACGCCAGACGCTGGGAGCAAAACGATCGACCTGCTGCAGAGGGCTGCAGGTCTGCCCACACTAGCTCCAATGTGCGCGCTGCCTGTCTCGGAGGGGACAGGGAACGATTCGCCTGGCTTCTGGCTCCCATCAGACAGAGCCTCTGCAACGTTTCCGAGCAAACTTGTACCGTGACAGCCAGGGCAGCTGCAACCCTGTGACTCCTAGGAACTCCCTCAGTGGCTTGGTCTGGAAATGACAGACTCGGGTACGAGGCTGCTGTTCTCCAGGCGACAGCGAAAAGCTTAGGGTGGGCTTCACGTCATAGCTCATTTCCAGACCCTGGGGCTGCCCTGGCCTTCACGCTGGGAGCCGCTCTGCTGTTTTCATTAAAGGCATAATTAAGTACAGAAAAAGGGCAGGCACCTTCAGTAACAAGGAAGCCTCATGCTCTTTTTCACAGGCTTTAGAAGGGCAGGATCTTTATGACTCCAATTGCACTAATGCTTTACATTTTTCCCCTCCCAACATCTCCAAACCCCCTGCCTGCCACACTTCCCTACATGAACTCTCTAAGCAGTTACATTCAGCCAGAATGAAGTCTCCCTGAGCTGCCTGCAAAGGATGGGCTGGAACAGCAAACACGGGCTCTCAGGTTTTTTATCACAAGACATAAAGCAGAACCGGAGCATCTGACTGATGCCCCGGCACAGCAGATCGCTAGATCCAGGCGCTCTCTGAACTGCTGACAGTTTGCCGAGCAATTTGGCAAGAGCAGAATTACTATCCAGGAACAGAGAAATGTCCAGAAAACCTTGCCTGAAATAGTATGTGCTAACCTGGAAGAAGGGTCTTTGCAGAGGGCAGAACAGGGGGTCAGAGAGCTGTCAGAGTAACTGCTAATATACAACAATATGATGCTTTCAGTCGGTCATTACAGTAACAAATTGCTTTTCCACCACCTAGCTCCGAGAGCAATGCTGCCCCTAACCCAGATGCACCGTCCGGCTGACCGCAGAGCCCTGGCATGGTGTCAGTCCCTGGGACCCAGAATCAGATCATTCTTTAGTCCCAGAACAGCAAAAGGGGGCAAGTGCCCCTGCCACGAGAGCTCCCAGGTAACGAACATGCTGTACAAGAGAGAGGGAAATGCAAACAATGCAGTGTTCCCTGGGCACTGTCTTTCTAAACTCGCTCTGTTAAACAGAGTGTAGCAAATGGATTAACCCCGTTAACCCGCAAGATCAGACAGTCTGTTGCATGCAAGATACTGGCAAGCAAGGGGGTATCATCCCGCTCGGGGCCATAGCCTCACATGTCTCTGGACCCTGGTTCAAGAAGCACTCTCTGGAGATAAGCCTGTCATTCTGCGGGGCGCAGCCTACCTGCACAGGGCGACTGGGATTTTAAGCCTACGTGACCTGGATTTCTGTCTGGTTTCATGCTGCCCACTGGGGATAGCGGAGCTGGATGCAAATACCAGCTGCTGCTCCACCCTGAGTAGAAGTCAGGGTGCAAAGTACTGTCCCTAGCATGAAGCAGTGCTGAGAGGAGCCCACTAGCTGCTCACCAGCCCCTAAAACTGCATCTCTTGCAAATTCCCATCTGCTCAGTGACTCTTCTCTGATGAAAAACCACCGCTCCTTGTCCCTGCGCTCTGCCAACGGCAAGCTTCCCCACAGCGACCTGACTAGCTTTGCCCAGCTCAGCTGCTTTGCAGGCAGCTGGAGCGAAGCCTGCTGCATGTGCTGCCGTCTGGCCACGGTCAATACCAGGCCAGGGTTCCTCTAGCTCCGGGTGGCTGTTTCACGCCAGCTTCCCCTGCCTCCTCAGCTACCCGCGGCGCTCGAGTGCATGGGGTCCAACAGCAACTCCTACCGAAGCACGTGGCCTGGAACAGTTCGTTTTGCATCAGGGAAAAGACAGCCAGTTTCAGGAACCCCGCAGGGACTCTCCACAGTGTGCCTGTCTTAACTGCATCACTCCGTTACAATTAACACAGCCATTTCCCCACGTGGCCTGCAAGAAAAGCAGCTGTAAAACCCACAGGGGAAAAGGGTGGGGGGAAATCAGCAGCCCTCTGAGCTAAGAAAGGAATCAATGCACCAGGTGACAAGAGTAAGTGTAGACCTCGAAGCCGGGGATTTGCAAGTGCATGTCAGGCTGATTCAATAGGATGATCTAGGCTAAAATAGGAATGACTGATATGGGACGGAGTTAGTACGGACTTAAGGGAGGGCAATACAATTCATGCCAGGCATTACGGCGTTCTGGGAAACAGATCCTGTCCAACTAAGGTGACGTATGTGTGTGAGGGTGCTGGCTTGCTTGGTAGAGGTGATTGCTCTGATGCCTTCTGCGAGGCTTTGCGACCCAGACAACTCTGGCTAACGGACAGGGCTCAAAAGTACCTGCAAACAGGGCATCAGCAAGAAGTGGACCTGCAGCGGGGCCAGCGGGAGCTGTTCCTGATTCTAGGCCATTTAGGACTTTCCCTGTGCCCACGCAGGGCTCTCCCCGCCCAGCAGATGGACAGACAAGCTCCAAAGGCTGGAGGTGGAGCTGCACAAGTGTCAAACAGAAACAAGGTGCGGCTTTCTGAGCGAGGGAAATGAAGTATCGGACAATTTATCCAGAGCCGTGGCGGATTCTCCATCGCTGGAGATCCTTACAGTGAGCCTGGATGTTTTCCTAACAGCTACGGTCTAGCTCAGACAGGAGGGAATTCAGGGCAGCCCCCTGGCCTGTGTGGTACGAGACGTCAGACTGGCTGGTCTCACCGGTCCCTTCTGGTCTATCCTTCTAGTTTCACCTCCCCCTTTTCCTTGCCCTGCCAGGCTCCACGTCTGAACAGGCTTGCATCTCACAACAGCAACAGGGGCCATCCCACACCGCAGGTGTTGACAGGGGGTGACTGTGCCGTGCGGGGGTGTCGCACTGTCGATGCCCGTGTCCAGGGGGGTACGGACGCTGGGGCAGACCTTGAAAGGAAGCTCTAACAAAGACAAAGAAACAAAACAGGGATGGGGACAACATCCACTACTAGAGGGGGGATGTGTGAGCCCCGGGCCGGGGCTGTGCAAGGTCCACACCAGCAGGAGTCCCTCTGGCTGCCGCCTCATTTGAAGACCGACGGGAACGTGGGACAATCTGGGCTTTTCATCTTCTTCATGAACTGCTTGAACTCCTTGTTCTTCTTATCCCACTTGTAAATGGCCGTCAGCAGGTACTGGCTCTTCACCTGCCGGCCCATGATCAGGAAGTAGTGGTTCAGGTTGTCCAGCTGGTGGCACGGGCACCCAGCCCCGTTCTTTAGGTACAGGACGAGCTTCTTCAGGTTCTTTTTCCTGATGGGGCCCATTTTCAACGCCTTCCTCTTCTTCGGGATAATCTTCCTATCCCCGTTCTCCCTTTTCACCTCCTTTATTGTCATCTTCAGAGCTGGAAAACAACAGAGAAGGACACACCTCCTGAGCAAGGCTGACTCAATCAAACCAACCCTGTGTGGGGGCGGGGGGGCATGCACCTTACAGACTAACGAAACCGGAAATATGGAGAGCGCAGGCTGGCCTGAATGCGAGCTCGCTTCATCAGGCTAACCTGGCTGAGCACTGCCTCTGCCTCCTGTCCCTTACCTTATACGTGGAGGGAAGTGCTTTGGGATGGATCCTGTTTGGCCAGCAGCCTGGACCCCCCAGGGGCTAGGCATTACAAGTCAGAAATAATGACCAACAGCCCCTTGCGGAGCGGCTGGGGCG